GGGGGGGGGTTTGTAACCGTGACATTCATTTCAGCTATTCGGTTAAAAGTAGATAGCGAGTGCTGTTGATGACCAGTTGGCCTTCATCTGGTCAGAAGTTCTAAATTAAGGATGGTTATGCGTAAACCCTGGGATCTCTAACCAGGTAATTTAGCCCTTGTGTCTCATATGGTGTCGTTGGGATCGAAAACACCAAACACTGGATGGATGAAGCATTATTTATAACATCTCACATTCCGTGTATAACAATTTTACAAATATTAGTTTGCTTTTTCTGGAGAAAATACATGTTGTTACATCTGCTTATATAAATATTTTACAAATGAATATAATTCATGTTTCATCATTCAAACGTTATTAAGTACGTGCATCATTCACGATTGCTTTCTGTTTTTTTGTTCCAAACATAAGGTGTATATAGCATGCAGTTTTTGGAGATTTGTGCAATAATGTAACGTGTGGTGCAATAACTAGTTTTATTATTTATTGTATTTTTTATTTATTATTATTTTTTATTATTTTATTATTTATTATATTATTTTGTAACGAAGCATAGATTACTCCTGTTCAGTTTACAGCTGGTATTAAATGCAAAGAAACGTAACAATACACGGATGGGACGAGATCGTGTCAGGGTGAGTTATTCAAGGAGTATTAAGGGGCGCAAAGACGTGTTCATTTGCAGGTGCGTTCCGTGTGTGTGTGTGTGTAAAGTACAACTTTCTGACGTCTAATGGATGGTTTAAAAATCGTTCACCCTTGTACCTGCGCATAGTTATGCACACTTAGGTCTTATATCTCCACCCAGCTGCCACTTAGTGTTAAAGAAAGAGAGAGAAATACTGAATAGCGGGAACGGATTCGTTTCACAACGGCTGTATCGAGCTGCCTTCATGGATAAAAAATATAAAAACTATAAAAGTAAAAGCTCCACATTATTCACGTCTCATATTATCTCTAAAATCTTGGTAACAATGAATAAGAACTTTGATATCACAATAAGTTAAATATCATAGTTCCTGTACTACTAGCCCTGATAAAGCCGTAATGACGAAAGGTTGGCTAAAATAAAATAAAAATCATTATCTGGAGAGAAAAAGTCGTTTTTTCTAACCTTATTGTCAAAATGTCTAAATCCCTCCAGTATGCACTACAAATTCTGAAAAACAACAAAATGCTATAACTAACGAATAACTATTAGATAAAAATTACACTCTTCCATTGTGGCCATCATAACTACAACAATCTTCACTCAGAAAAAAAGCAACAAATGTAGTTTTTAAATAATCACATGCTTCATTGCTTTCTGTTTTTCCTATTTTAACCTCATAATTGAAATGCATTCAGTTCAAAACTGGGAACAACTCTACCTGAAACGTAGAATCTGACATCTTTCTGATTAGTTCAAATGTCGCATAAGGTTCTGTTCGTATTAAAGTACTAAAAAGTGTTACATATCCCTAAAGAAACGAAATACAGATGGCTGAGTCTGCTCGCCCATTTTCAAGTACTTGAAAATTTATATTATTTATGTAACCAATAATTCAGAAATAAGTACTGTCTGAGTTTTAAGTGGGTTTTAATTACTTTTTGCCAGACGATTTTAATCGCCCACGTAGTTATTTACAAAGCAAAAATATTAAAACTAATTACTCACATCCTGTTTGGTTCTTGATTGATTTATTACAAGACGATTTTACTCGCCCACAAAAAAATAGAGGGATGGGTGGAGTGGAGGGATGGACTTCCAGCAAGACAATTTTACTTAGTAAAAAAAAAAAGAAAAGAGATATTTAGTTTGTTGTTAGGAGTAAAGCTACACAATAGATTATCTGTGTTCTTCCCATCGCGGCCTGGCATGGCAAGGTGATTAGGGCGCTCGACACACAATTTAAGGGTCGCAGGTTCGAATCTCCGTCCCATCAAATATGCTCGCCCTTTCAGTCGTGGGGGCATTATAATGTGACGGTCAATCCCAAGACTTGGCGGTGGGTGGTGAAGACTAGCTCCTTCCCTCTAGTATTTCACTGTTACATTAGGGACGGCTAGTACAGATAGCTCTCGTGTACCTTTGCGCGAACTTCAGAAACAAACAAATAAACAATATTCCTATCGCGGGCATCGAAACGCTGTTTTTAGCGTTATAAGCTCTCAGACTTATCGCTGAACTACTGAAAAGGGGGGAGAGAAGAGGAGAGAGAGTGAGATATTTGGTATGGAAAAGATTAAACTAAGTGCTAAATGAATTTTAACTGCTAATTGTCAGACGATTTTACTACTTCTAAGAAGAGTTCATGATTCAGTTTTAGCCCTAGTCAACCTTCTCACTGGGTTCTTCTACGATATGATCTGTAGCTTTTATGTACATTGTAATTATCCTGCACCACATGGGCTAAATAGCCAAGGCAAAGGCTCAAAGGTTCTGGCACAGCCCTCCTAATTTACAACTGCTGACTAGAGTGATGGCAAGCAGTCAGTAGCACCCTCTGCCAATACCAGTACCCTTTAAACAAATAGCAGGATTGATTGCCACTTTTATAACACACTTATAGTTGTAAGTGCTTAGAATAACGCACATATTTAATATGAAAGTATTTACTACTCATAAATAAGAATTATCCTTTGTAAATAACTTGTCATTTTTTTCTATTTACTGTGTACAATAATAGATCACTATATTTGGCCAGTTCTTGAGTAGCATTTATTAAAAACTAATCAATTTCTTGTTTGGTTGTTTGTTTCAGAGCAAAGCCATATTTGGCTGTCTGCTGTATCCACTGCGGGGAATTGAACCCCGGTTTTTGGTGTTGTAAGTCCTTAAACTTACCGTGTCCCTTCGCGGACATTAATTTCTTGATAGGTTATCATGTCGTATTTGCATGATGCGTGATATCTTAAATAGCAAAATGATATAATAAAAATATATATTTCCTTATATATATACCTACAATAAACGCCATTTTAAAGGAGTAACATAATTAACGTGATTATTTAAACAAGTCTTATCAATAGTGTCCCCAAATTAGTGGTTAGCGGTAAGTTTATGGACTTATAAGGCTAAAATCCGGTGTTTGATATCCCGCAATTGATAGAACGCAGATAGTGCGTTATGGAATTTTGCGCTAAGAAAAACAAATGAATATATACCATACTTTATTACCATCTAGTGAATTATTTTCAAACTACAAAACATTGATTGAAACGTTTAGATTTAGTTAAAAATATCACTAATAAAATTCTATATTATCGATAAGTGTTTTATATTGTGAAAATATTTTTTGTGGGCTAGTAATATTCTGGTATCACATATGAAGTAGCTAAAATGTTTATACACCTATCAAGATGTAACAATGATAAGAAAAACATTTATTTTTGAATAATTATAGTAAGGAAAAAATAGTTTTTTTAATCATAAAATATTGCCAGTATTCTAAACCTAAAGATACAAGATGTGTAAGTTTTAATGACCAAAATGTGCATCAATTATCTGCATATAACAAGTTGAAAATAATATACACTGTACAAATTGTGAACTTATATCTAGCGACAGCAGCTTTTGTTTTACAAATGCATGTAAGTTATCTGTATGATTGTACTTTCGTTTAACACACAGTTTGGTTCTAGACATACAGTTAATTTGTGGGAAAAGTATCAAACTCTCCTACTCATTACCAAATTCTAACCACTGTTTCTCGCATACATGATAACCTTAAAATAGTATGTATTGTATTTATGGTAAAGCTGTTATGGTTATCCGCTTCCGTCCATAATTCTGAACCACTGACCATGTTGATTAACTATTGTTCTTATAAATACGCACCCACAGTTTAAAGTACGGGGAACATTTTGTGGTATCATTCGGATTGAAACGTAGCTCGCTTGCTCCGAAATTCAAAGCTCTGTTACAGGGCCAACCCGCATCCGAAATAAAATATAATATATATATATATACAGAATAATGACGTGATTATCATGAATATGTAACATACATATGAATTTGCTTAGCATAAAGGAAGAAAGGAGGTAATCAATTTATTTTTACAAAAATGTCCTTAAAAAGTTACCGCAATTATTATATATATATACCATTGCTTATTAAAACAGGTCTGTTTTTTAAAGATAAACCAAGTACAACATTCCAATTATGTTATATATTTTGGTTCCTAAATGCCCTTAAAGTGTGGAGTATATTTTTTAAACAATGGATTGCAAGCCACGAATCATCGGATTTAAAGTCCGTGCATAATAACTACTGGGCTATGTGCTATAACCTGTTCTATTGTTCTGCGAGTTTTTTTTATTGTTATTAGGTAAAACGCATGCCAAGACCAGTTAATATAACGTTAAATAATTAATTTATTTCTTCAATGCCGATTGCTACAGGCTACGTTAATTTTGACACAAGTTGTAAATCTAAGCTCACAAACAACGTTTCATTAGAAATTCTGAGACTAATAATTCTATAACAAACGCTGACTAATTCACTGTTTAGCTTACTAACTGATACAGAACTGAATAATTCACGTGCCTGACACTAAACTAAATCATTCACTGATTACCCAAACACTAACTGTTTCACTGAGTCTCGTATTTATATCGTACTCTTATTTCTATATACCACACGAAACTTTCATGAAATTTATTGATATTGCGTCATGTGCTCTGTCGCAAACAAACAGCAAAATTAAAATAAAAACATCGCTTACAAAAATAGAAAGTGCATTTGAGCGAGCAATAAGTGTATTGTTGATAGTCTTAGTTCGAACCAAATGTAGAGATAATTATTTATAATAAACACAATATGATATTATATATTGCTTTTTTATATTAGAATTAAACTTTAAAGGGCACAAAAACAATAGCCTCCTCATCATTAAAATAAATTCAAAATATTAACTCCCGTCGAAGGATTGAATAATAGCATTATAATAATACATAAGAAAAGACCAACTCAAAAATAATATATGAACTATATATTATATATTAGTAAGTACAGTATAGAGCGGAAGTTTACAAATGGCGGCGTTCAGTGGGTATGGTGTAGTCTCTAAGCCTAAATCAACTTGCATGAACTTACGAGGTTTTTGATATTAAAAAAAAAATTATCAACATGCCCCATATATACAACTGAAAGACGATATCAAAACTTTCTTCAACTTTTCTAACCAAACGAAAATTTGAACTTCAGCCCAGGATGGACACGGTAGGGTAAGTAACTTAAAATTTACCTTAATTTTTATAATTATACTCGTATATAATAATAATATTACTAATGTCATGAACCTGTAGTTAAGTGTTTGTAAGTCTTTCTTTGTATAACCTGAAAAATTTGTCAATTTTTCTTTTGTTAAACTTGAAGTTTACCTTGAGACAGGTTTGTATCTTCATTAGTAATTTCTATTTCCTGGTATATATATATATATATATATATATCAATACTAG